GTCTTAATAGGTGAGAAATGAGAACACAATTTCCTCTAGGTCTCCCTATTCCGGCCTTAGCATTTCCCATGTGACAAAGAGTTGAGAAATGGGCAAAGGGCTGAAGCCCTTGCGTCATTTTCCTTTCGTCTCCGGTTGGTTTGACCAAACAAGTTATTGGAGCTTTCAATGAATTGAATGGAAATGTGATTGTCAGTCATGTCCATGACCAAGTCTTGAGAGAAATTAATTTCCTTTGGATGCTGCCGACTCAACAGTGAAGCCCCAAAGTGTGGCATGAAATTCATTTGATAGAATCATAGAACCAACACCTAATTAAAGTGATCTTAATTACTAGGATTAATTATAACAAATTGAGCCTTAATGCTATTTGACTCAATCCCAGAAAACGCGTGTAGTATGATGAGAAGAAAAGGGAAAAATATGGCAAAGTTGTTTTTGATTTGATCACTGATAATCACACTCAGGACTTGAAGTGCTGTCACCGTTTTTTTGATTGATTAATCTGTTTTGTTGTGAAGAAAGGGAGATAGAACCAAATTTGTTTGGTCATTACTCACCAATTTCTTTTATGTGACCCCTAATTGAGTGTGGACGTAATAAATTTTGATAAAAATTTTAAATTCGAGTCATAATACTTTTAAACGTTAAAAAATTTTAATTCAATACCATTGACATAAAATTTTAAGATCAAATCATAATACTTTTAAACATTAAAAAATACTCTTATATGTTACATTTTAAAATTAAGTATAAATCAGAATACGATTAGATTAGATATTGAGATTTTAGATTCGATTAGTGTAATACATACAGCTTGTTGAATCTATTACCATAAATAGAAATAGAAATAGAAATAATTTTTTTTACTTTTTTTAATTTGTTGTAAGTGTAATATATAAGCCTTGAAAAAAAAACATTTATTATCTTAAAGAATCTCATCTTTTTGATGGGTATATCTTTCCTTTTGTCCTTCACACTTTATTGGTAATAAAATAGAAGATTATTATCTTTGTTTTGATAATGATGTAGATTTTTGGGTTTTCTTTTCCTAATTTTTTTAAAGCAAGTTTCTCCATAATTATCTAGTGTTGTACTTTGAACAGCAACAAGATTCTCTTCCACCCCTCAAAAAAAGGTAGGAATAGTTGTTTGTTTTAGTACTTTAATTTTTTATTGTTCACACCTTATCATTATCTATTTATATTTTTTTTTCTTTTAATACTGCCTTGTCTTCATATAGTTTGCATTTTTTTTCTTTTTATTTTTAGAATTGAGAGAAGAAGGATTTGAATTATTCTTTTTTAGGAGATCATGCACTATCTAATAAGTTAAATATTTAAATATATATTTTTTATTTTTTATTTTTTAATATTTAAGTTTTTATTATATATATATGCATACTACTGTTTGCAGCTTGTAATTTTTTTAAAAAAAATTGATATTTTTTTAAAAAACTCAATAATTGGTGAAATTTTGTTTTGTTGAAATATTTTAAATTATATTTTTAAAAAAAATTAAAAAGGATTCTTTTTCAAAATTATAAGTTTATAACCTTTTCGTTATAAGTCTAGGTAAAAGAAAAATCTAAATTATCTTTGAACACTAACATTCAAAATTCATTCAAACCACCAAAATATCCATTTCCACTTTTTTTTAAAAAAAAAATTGATCAATATATAGTATACATTAATTTAATACTAAATATCAATATATATATATATATTGGTCTTGAATAATATTTTGAGGATATCAAGAAACATAAATTTATGGGTTGAAAAAGGGTATTGAGAAAGATGGTTAAATGTGAATAAGGAAACTTCCATGAATATTAAAATGTTGACGATAAATGACAAAAAATTGTATTAAAGAACACAACTTGAAATTGAAGTGCTATCCCCTTTGTACTTGAAACTCTAAAAAATAAAATAAAATAAAAAAATAAAAATAAAAAGCTAGTGATTCAGACATATCCTTTATTAAAACATTTATCTTTTTCTAACAGATGTGAAACATTCTTATAAAAGAGAATATAATCATCCCATTACAACCTTCTAGATAGATACATGTTCTCAAGCTTAGAAACCCACCAATCTTTTTGCTTTTTGTTTTCTCCCCCTTATCCATCTGTATCTTTTTGATTAATTAATTTCATAAGGTTCACATGATATTTTTAGTCTCATAATTAATGATTTCATTAATGAAATTAAATAAGGACATAGTGATAAGATTATTCTAGCTGGTAAAGAAAGGGTCAATCAAGCATGGGGGAGGTAGCTTGTCACCTTTTATTATTTATTTATTTTTTTCTAGATTTGATTGGAGCATGACAAAAGCATGTAAAGACTACCATAATTATTTTTGGGGGGGAAATGAAATGAATTGCTTTTACAAAGTTGGGTCATGAGTTGTATTGGAAGGAAAAGACTTTACAAGGTTGGGTTTTCAAGTTCATGCATGATGACAAGTGATTAAGAAAAGGACTTTCATTTGATAAGTTAATTAGCTATATTGCATGCTTTGTCTTGGATATTTGTTTGGGTTTATTAGCTATCATAATCAAGTGAAGCATCATTCCCATTTCACATTAAGAAGAGTCATTATTATGATTTTTAACAAGAATATATAAATACCAGGCATTTAAATCAAGATCTAAATAGGGATTTTAGATTTTTTTTTTTCATTTTATTTGATTACACATTTATATGCATGTAAAGAAATTAATAAATTTTATCTTATTAAAGATGATTACTTTTTCTCAATACAATAGTGTTCAAATTGATCTTTTCTTGTTAAACATAATTCCCCTAATCATGTTATAATTTTAAAAACTCTCTTTACGAGCGACATTTTAATTTTAGGCCACACATGAAGAATATGTCACTTAAAGACAATAAACCAATAATTTTAACAAAATAATTAAATTGAGAATCACATGACAATAATTGAATTATGGATGAGATTAGTTCAAACTAATTAAAATATCAGTAGTCAAATTCTAAAAATCTCTAACTTAAACTAATTAGGGTGATCGACTTGAATCTTTATTCATACTCATCAATCAATCTTTTTTTTTCTTTTTTGCCACCTTTAGGTGGGATACCAAACACACAAAATATTCAATGATTAAGTGCCACGCTCAATTCAGCTTCAATCTTATGTCGGGCAACGAGGAAGATTCTAAGACACTTATAAGTATGAGTGTTGCATATTTTATTAGATTAGTTTTTTGGGTAGAGAAAATGATCCCGCACAAGTGGGATGAGAGCCTATTCAAATATTAACATAAAATATATCAAAATTGAAATAAATTCAAATCAAAATAGATCTTTTTTTTAAAATTTAATTATTATGACTTTTGAATTGAAATATTCACCGTAATATTAATTTCATAAAATTTTAATTTCCAACCATTATATACGCTAGAAAGCAATAAATGAAATTGAACATATAACTAATAATTAGATAGTTAGTATAATCAATCAATTAATCATTAATTATTCTTAATATTTTCGTGTAATTTGGGACAATTAAAAGATCAACCCTCCCACCAACAACAATTTTTCTCTTATCCCTACGCAATTAATCTCCCCTCGTCAACTGATTAATCATAATTAGTAGCAACTGTTGAAAGAACAAAGTAAATCGCTGCGGGTCCCATCTTTTTTCCTGGATTGAGAGCAGGATTGCCACGTCAAGTCAACGGAGTCAAAGAGAACATGTGTCCTTTAGCCAGGTGTCTATCCATACTCTGAGGTACTGCCAGCTGCCTTTAGCCATGCGTTTATTCCTTCGCTGAGGTACTGCCAGTTGTCGTTCGTACGGGGGTGATCGTAGTTTCGCTGCTGGTTTCAGTTTACACCGCGGGCATCCGAATCAAACGGACTGTGCATCCCCACCCCCAACGTCACGTGAATGTCACGTGTTCGTCACCCGTAGAACACGCTCATGCCCCGGTTCCCTCACATCCCTCAACTTCCACGCTCCTTCCCTACTTAGTACTTTTTTCTTTTATGAAATTAAATTAAATAATTTTTTATGATTTATTATGAAATAATTATTATTTAAGTATTTTAATTTACTAGTATTATAAATTTTTGTGCAATTTAATATATATTTTAAAAAAATATAAGCTTTTTAATGTTTTTCATATTAACATTTCAATGTAAATATTTTATATTAAGTCATTGTGTCTAGTTCTTATCATTGACTCGTCAAAAAACAATGGTCACCATTTCATAGATAATTATTATACTATCATGAATCTTTTTGACTAGTATTTTGAAAAGTCATGAATAATTTCTATGAAAAGTTCATATTCTTAAAAGATATGAATTAAATAATGATTTGAATAATTTAAAGTACTTATATGCTTCTTAAAGAATTTTTTGGACCACAACATGTTGAATATGTAAATTTATTATCTAAGAAAAATGCATGTCGTTTTTATTGATAGTTATTAAAAGTTATTAATAAAATTAAAAAATATTTATGAAGATTAATTTTAAGTAATCATTATCAATTATCTTGAAGTCAACACCTACATACGGAATAAATATATATATTAAATTTATCAATAAATAAATAATTGAGAGATTAATAAAATATATGATAAAATAAAAAAATCCGATCATGATTAATTTTAAAAAATAAAAATAATTATTTTTAAAAAAGTGAAATAAAAAAAATAAAAAAAAATTGATGTTGCCGATGAGGCTATGAGTGCGCAAGGGATGACGGAGTTTAGTTTACACAGTCGACGGAGGAGCGTGGAGACAGCGTTTGTCATTTGCCACGCATTTTAAGAAAAGAAAACTGAAAATAAAGGGGGAACTATCGAAGAATGTTGTCGAACGTGTGCGGATGGTCGGCGGCCGTTTGTTTTGTTTTAACGCCGTTAATTGTTGCAGTACAAGAACGACTTCCTACATTTTAAAAACCAGTTACCGTTAAATCCTCCTTCTTTCTTCTTTCCCTCCTATAAATGCAGGACACTCTTGCCTGCTTTGCCTTTCGATTTCAAACTTTGAACAAACTAAAAGTCCAAGTCTAAGTGAAAGAAGAACAAATTTTCTCCTTTCTTTTTGCTTATTTTGAAGCTTTGGGTTTTGATTTTTGATTCCCTAGGAACAAGAATTTTCCAGGTAAACTTCCTAAGTTCACTGTTAAATTGACTTTTCCTTGCTGCTTCTATGAATATATTTTGGTTATGGATTATTGGGTGATTAATTGGTTTTTTTCTTTGTTTTTGAATTGGGTTTTTATATTTGATTCTAGGTTTTCATTTTGGTTATTAGCTTTCTGGGAAATGAAAAAAGTAGCTGAGCTTTAAGCACTTTAAATATGGATTGAAGAAATTTGGTACTTTTAAGTGCCAAAGTTTTTAACTAGAAGGTGTTTGTTTTGGGGGAAACTTGGCAAAGATATTTTCTCTTTCTGGGTTCTTTAACGTAAACTTTTAGTGCTCTTGTTTTGGCAACCAAAAAATATATGAAAAAAGTGAATTGCTTTCAGCTTCAACTTTTTTATCATTACAACTTTTAGGCTGTTCCAGATTGAGGGAGGTTTCAATGGGTTAAGTATTTTATTCTTTTGGAGTAGGAAGTTAAGTTGATTGGTGTTGTTGAGACAAGAGTTCAATTTGTTAAGCTTTGTATCTGCTGTGGTTGTTATGCATTGCAGCTTTCTCAAAGTAGATAGCAGATGTTGATTAACTTTTGGAATCTTAGGATTCTATGAATAAAAATCTTATTCGGCTCAAAATACTCTGCATCAAATTCTTTGGTTATAGGGTTCAAAGAGGATTTTAGGTTGTTGTTTGAGTAGGAAACTAATGTCTGCAGCTCAGGCCAAAAGGTTTATGGATTTCTGCTTTAGGGATATGCTTTTGGCTTTGCTTTTGTTTCTTGGATGTATGAATGAGTGATAACTTGTCTTTGTTTTCTTAATTTTTGTCAAACCACTTGATGTGATCTCTGTCTGTAAATTGTTTATTGAATCATAGATTAATTGTGTGGTGTTAAGGACGGGGATTATATCATTTGATCAAGCTACTTTGTTGTTGTGTTTATAGGATTGCTGAACAAGAAATCATAAATTAATTCTAGAGAAGGACTTCTGAGAGATTTTTTGACTTTAGATTGGTGATTACTATTTGCAATAGATTGTCTGCCAAGAAACTATAGATTGATTCTTGGTGGCTAGGTTCATGTTATCAAATCTATGGCTTTAGCTCTTCAATTTGGGTTTCTTTCTTTCTCTTTCAGTTTTGTTTGTCAACTACAAAATGTGAACGGTTAGAACTTAACTGTTGTTTGGCATTGGTTTTGCAGGTCAATTTTGTTTTCCTGAAGGTATAACTTCTATTGTAGTGTTGAAGTTTCTTGTAGTCAACTTGACAAAGGGTTTCACAATTCTGTCCTTAACTGCTGATAAATTCTCTGAGATCTCTTCATCGTGTTCAAAAGCTGATGCCAAACTCATAGCATGGATGCACACCGGCTTTTCAGATACGGTGTGACTGGTGCAAGCCTATCCTACTCAACCTCTTATTCAACTGTTCCTTCTATACCTAATCGGCTGTTTAGTTCTTCGAAATCTGACATAGGAAGCTCACCCAACTCGCCCTTTTCATCTCAATTTGATTCACCCTTTTCGACTCAATTTGATTGTGATACCAACACCACGTTGAGTGACAGCCAGGAGCAGCATAGCTCCACGGAGAATCTCTCAGGACTTAGCTCTTCTTGTAACTCTTCACTTGAATCTAACACTTATTTCCATAAATTGAGTCCCTCTCTGGACTGCAAGCGCGAAATCCTGCCACTCTGTTCTGGTGGAACTTCTTATATACAGGATGCAAATTCTAGCCACAAAATAATATACACTTTGCAGGAATTAGAGACTGCACTAATGGCACCTGATGCGGATGAAGAAGTAACCACCCCAAATGTTTCCTGTGGAGAAAGTAGTAGACAACAGACAGCAGGCCAGCGATCTAGGGCATGGAGCCAGGAGCACCAAGGATCTTTGGTGCTTCAGCCTCAGACATCCTTTGTTTCTAGGCATAGGCAGTCAACTGAAGTTTCTAATGCTGAGAAACGTCAGAAAGCAATACAGGATTTGTCTTTGCAGGGTATTCCACCGGGCAATCTGAAGAAATTATTGATTGTGTGTGCTCAAGTTCTCTCCGAAAACAATATGGACGATTTTGATAAGTTGATTGCGAAGGCCAGGAATGCTGTGTCTATCTGTGGAGAACCAATCCAGCGCCTTGGTGCTTACATGGTGGAAGCATTGGTGGCAAGGAAGGAGGCATCAGGGTCAAACATATATCGTGCCCTTCGTTGCAGAGAGCCTGAAGGCAAGGACTTACTTTCCTACATGCAGATCCTGTATGAAATTTGCCCCTACTTGAAGTTTGGCTACATGGCAGCCAATGGGGCCATTGCTGAAGCATGCAGAACTGAAGATCGCATTCACATTATCGATTTCCAGATTGCTCAGGGAACACAATGGGTAACCCTCTTGCAGGCGCTTGCAGCCAGACCTGGTGGAGCTCCTCATGTCCGCATTACAGGAATTGATGATCCTCTTTCTAAATATGCTCGTGGTGGTGGATTGGAAGCTGTTGGCAGACGTTTGGCTTCACTATCTGAAAAGTTCAATATTCCAGTTGAGTTTCATGGAGTGCCAGTTTTTGCACCAGATATCACAAGGGAGATGCTTGATGTCAGGCCTGGGGAGGCTCTGGCTGTCAACTTCCCTCTGCAGCTACATCACACCCCTGATGAGAGCGTTGATGTGAACAACCCTAGGGATGGGCTTCTGCGAATGGTAAAGTCACTTTCTCCCAAAGTTACCACATTGGTAGAGCAAGAATCAAACACAAACACAG